TCCGCCTCCCAAGCCCCTGGGATTGCAGGTGTATGCCACCGTGCCAGGCTGAACATCTTTTTCAACTTGGATTTGGATCGCCCCACCCCTCCAAGCTCGCCAAGGACCAAACTCGGGGCCTTGTGTGTGCTAGGCAAGTGCTCTGGCAGTGAGCTAAATTCCCAACCCTTTTCAACAACTTTGATAAAGAATACATAGATTGAAGCCAGATGCCGTGACTCATGCCTATAATCCCAGCCCTTGGGAGGCTGAGGCAGGAGGATTGTGAGTTCAAGGCCAACCTCAGCAGCTCAGTGAGGCCCTAAGCAACTCAGTGTGACCCTGTTTCTAAATAAAATACAAAAAGGGCTGAGAAGGAGCTGGGGTTGTAGCTCAGTGGTAGAGTGCTCACCTACCGTATGTGGGGCACTGGGTTCGATCCTCAGTACCACATATAAATAAATAAATAAAAAGTCATTGTGTCCATTTACAAGTAAAGAAATATTTAAAAAAAGGGGGTGGGGGCTGCTGAGGATGTGGCTAAGTGGTTAAGCACCATTGGGTTTAATCCCTGGTGCCAAAGGAGAAAAAAAAAAAAAGAATACATAGGTTGATTGGCAGGGCACAGTGGCAGATGCTTGTAGTCCACCGATTCAGGGGACTGAGGCAGGAAGATTGTGGCCAACCTGGGCAATTTATTGAGACCTTCAGCAACTTAGTTTCTTGCTAAGTTGCCGAGAGTCTCACTATCTCAAAATAAAAAAAAAATTAAAAAGGACAAGGGATATAGCTCAGGGATAAGGTGCTCCTAGGTTGAATCCCCAGTATCAAAAAAAGAGAGAAAAAAAGGAAAGAAAAACCAAAAACAAAAAAATAGATTTACAGAAACAAGTTAGAAAATTTTTAGACTAAAATTATCAGATGGAGTTTATTAGGGATAAATATAATTTCTGGTATATTGCTTCATAAAACTGGGAAAAGTGAAAATGAATTTTTTTGTGGGGGGGGGAACCAGCGATTGAACCCCAGGATGCTTAACCACTGAGCCACATCCCAATCCCTTTTTAAAATTTTGAGACCTGGTCTCGCTAAATTGCTTAGGACTTTGCTAGGTTGCTGAGAATGGCTTTGAACTTGCAATTCCTGTCTTTGCCTCTCAAGTACCTGAATTATAGGCATGCACCACTGTACCTGGCTGCACTTTATCTTTTTAAAAAATTTTTTAAAAATAATTTTTAGTTGTCAATGGACCTTTATTTTATTTATTTTTATGCAGTGCTGAGAATTGAACCCAGTGGCTTGCCCATGCTAGGCAGGTGCTCTACCACTGAGCCACCCCAGCCCCTGCACTTTATCTTTTTAAAAGACAAAACAATATTCAAGAGTTTGGTGAGCCAAGCTTGGAACTGTCCTACCTCTTATAATGAGACTATTAAAAAATTGGACTTTGAGTATTGCTCAGTGGTAGAATGCTTGCCCAGCACACACAAGACCCTGTGTTCAATCTCTAGAATTGCAAAAACATGACCTATCTCCAGTCATGTTCCAGAAACAACATAAGCCTTCTATGCTTATGCACAAAGTGATAATGATTTCCATTTATTGATTACATGCTTTGTACCAAATACATACATTGTCTGTAACTCTTTCTCCACCTCTTTGAAATAGATGGTATTTTCCCCTTTAGATAATTAGTCTAACTTGTATGCTTATTTATGTTTATTTATTTAAAGGCTAGTGCTAGGATTGAAAGCTGGGCTGTTTCTGTTTTACCGTTTTGCCTTTGGCATGAGTATGCAGTGAGGCTGAAGGTGTTGGGAATATCTGCTTATGAGAAGGTTAATTCCTCAAAAACTATTTATAACTCTCATTTATTCTTTTTTTTGGGGGGAAGGGGGTAGTGGGGACTGAACTCAGGAGCATTTGACCACAGAGCCACATCCCCAGCCCTCCCTATTTTGTATTTTATTTATAGACAGGGTCTCACTGAGTTGCTTAGTACCTTGCCATTGCTGAGGCTGGCTTTGAACTTGGGATCCTCCTGTCTCAGCCTCCTGAGCCGCTGGGATTACAGGTGTGTGTCACGGCTTCCAGCCCCATTTATTCTTAAGTCCAAAATAACACCGTATGGTAATATTAGCTAATAAGTATTGAGCACTTATTATATGCCAGGCACTTTTCTAGGCTCTTTGCATGTAATTTATTTAATTCTCATAACTCAGTGAAGATGTTACCATTCTCATGTGTACCTGCACATGAGGAAACTGAGGCAAGGGGAGTAAATAGAGGAGCCAGGATTTGAAATGGGCCATCCAGCTACAGAATGCACACTTATAGCCACTGTGCTGTGTTTGCCTTATGCAGATGGCCAGGATGTTACAGAAGATTGCAGAGTTTTTAATAATTCTTCATGGAATTGGTTCAAATTCCTCACTATTTTTAACTTCTAAACTATTTTTTAAATTCAAACATGCTTGTGTTTTATGTTCTATTTTTTTCATTATAAACTATCACCCTCAAATAGTTACAGGCAATGTTGATTTTTTTTAAATACTTTTTTTTTTTTTTAGTTGTAAATGGACTCAATACCTTTTATTTTATTTTTATTTAGTGCTGAGGATGAACCCAGTGCCTCACATGTGCCCGGGCAGTGCTCTACCACTGAGGCCCAGCCCCAGCCCCAGCCCAGTGTTGATGCATTTTGACTTTGGATCTTAACTTTGTTCATGTTCATGAAGGGGTAAATGGAGTTGTCTACAATGGTTTTTGAGGACTGTCATATAGAAAAGGGATTATTAGGGTTGAATCATATGGAGTAGCTAATATTGAATGTTTTTTTGTGCTACAGAAATGGCAGATTTAAGTGATTCGACCTAATATGACTAAGAGAAGGAAATTACAGAGAAATCATTATTGTTTTTTTCATTTTCTTGCGGGGGGCGGGGTGTACCAGGGATTGAACTCAGGGCACTTGACCACTGAGCCACACCTCCAGCCCTATTTTTTGTATTTTATTTAGAGACAGGGTCTCACTGAGTTGCTTAGCGCCTTGCTAAATTGCAGAGGCTGGCTTTGAACTGTTGATCCTCCTGCCTCAGCCTCCCAAGCTGTGGGATTACAGGTGTGCACCATAGCACCTGGCCAAAAACATTTTTTTTTTTTTTAAAGAGAGAGAGAGAGAGAATGAGAATTTCAATATTTATTTTTCAGTTTTTGGCGGATACAACATCTTTGTTTGTATGTGGTGCTGAGGCTCGAACCTGGGCAGCACGCACGCCAGGCGAGTGCACTACTGCTTGAGCCACATCCCCAGCCCCAAAAACATTTTTTAAAAAAAAAATATTTTTCTAGTTGTAGATGGACAATGTACCCTTATTTTAGTTTTATGTGGTGCCAGGGATCAAACCTGGTGCCTTATGCATGCTAGGCAGGCACTCTACCACTAAGCCACAACCCTGGCCCAAATCATTGATTTTTAAAAAAGACACTTAGGACAGGTGAGGTGGTGCATACCTGTAGTCTCAGTGGTTTAGGAGGCTGAGGCAGGACTATCATGAGTTCAAAGCCAGCCTCAGCAATTTAATGAGACCCTGTTTCAAAACAGAAAACAAAAAGCGTTTGAGATGTGGCCCAACAGTTAAGCACCTGGTTTGAATCCCCAGTACTACCAAAAGAAAAACAAAACAAAATAAAACAAACAAAAAAAAAACAATAGGTTGGTCTTATCCAGTTTAGGGTATGTTAGAAGTTTGAGCTTTGAACTTCTTCTCTGACATTTCTTTCCTTATCTGAAAAGTATACATCACTTCATATTCCTTTTAATTTTTTAAGCTGTAAGCTAATTTATGGATCTTAACTTTGTTCATGTTCATGAAGGGGTAAAATGTCTTGATCTTTTGTCCTGGATAGAAAGTGATTTTAAGGCATTCTTCTTTGGTGTGTGTGTGTGTGTGTGTTTAATTTAAATTGACAATATAACAACATATATCAGCCCATCAAACCTACTTTTGAAATGTAGATTTTTTAAAATGTAGATTATAATTGAGTTTAAGATTAAATTTTTTTAAATTTTATTATGAAATTTGCAAAAGTAATCAAAATACTTAACCAGATGTTTATTTGTCTTGCTTACCTGCTTTTGGTGGAAATTATATCATTGCCTTTAGTAAAAATTTCATTCACCCAAGAAAGGTCCATTAAGGATATTCTTGGATGACCCTTTCTATAGAGGAGGAGTACCTTGAGTTTAAGGTGATTGCTGTTATTGGGATGAGGGTATTATGAAGGGAGTTTTGGTGAACAGTTTCTAACAGAACCTTGTGACAACTGTATTTATATTTTGTTATTGGTGCATTTCTACTGTTGCTTTCTATCTTTTTGGTTTTGGAGGGTCAAACTTTTATCATTTCTTTGAATTTGATCATGAGTCCTTCAAGTTCTCCTCATGTCCTGCTCCATTCATTTGGTTGCTTTTTTTTTCTCCTTTGGATTCTCTGGGTTCTTTTCATTCAACAAAATACTTTGTAAAACAAAGTATGTGGTGAAATTTTGAAGGCTCAATAATAAAACACTTGGAACAGTTACACTTTTCTTATGCAAACAGGGTTGTAAAATTCCTTAGGTTTAATAAAGAGATTCTGCAGAGTGTTCCCTAGTTCTGTCCACACAGATGGGTACAGGGTACTGGTGAATATTAATCTAGTTCAACTCATAAGCAACAATGTTGGCTTGAAGTACCTGATTTTCTTTAGGATTTCCCCTTGTTCTTTTCCCCCAAAGTCAGTAAAACCCTGAGAACTTGAAAGCTACTTAAAATGAACACATTGACCTCCTGTTTCTAAAGATGAATCACAATTTTTATCTATGATTCCCTGCAAACAATAATTTTGAGGTAATTGCAGTCTGCTTGATATCTCGGACTGCATATTACACATACCACAGTTTTACTTTCCATTGTCATATGCTAATGCATGTTTTGTAATAACCAGAATAAGCACATGGAATCTTTGTTTTTTTTTCAGTACCAAATACTTTTAAGAAAACAAATGATTTTGTGACATCTAATGTGCCAGCTGTCGACCTAGACCATAAGTTTAGATGCAAGGTTGTGGACTGTTTAAAATTTTTCCGCAAAGCTAAACTGTTGCACTATCACATGAAGTATTTCCATGGAATGGAGAAATCACTGGAGCCAGAAGACAGCCCAGGGAAGAGGCATGTCCAGACAAGGGGCTCTTCAACGTCTGACAAGGCCAACCAGGAGAGCCTCACCAGGAAGCGAGTCTCTGCCAGTTCTCCAAGTAAGTATCTTGGTTCTGCATTGTGCCGTAGAGGACCCTGCTGCTAAGGCCACTGTGCTTATGTTTGTGACACAGAAAGCAGACATTATGTTGGTCTTGTCCAGTTAATTCCACATGATTGAAAATGATAAGTCTTTCTCAGGTATTGTATCATGGAGCTGGGGCCCTCCTGGAGGAAGCAGAAATACTTAATTCTTATTCTTGTCTCTGCCTCTTGTTCCCCAAGTTATCTTGAGAGTTACCTAGCCTCTGTGCTCCCAATATGAGTGTGGACAATTGAGCAAGGGCGCTCCTTGAGAAGCTAGTGGGAGAACTCATGTCCGGAACATGCTGTCCTCCTCCCCTCCTCCCCTCCTCCCCAAACCTGTGTCCCGTCTCTACCAGCAGGGCAAAAGTACAAAAGAACTAAAAAACGATATGTGATTTTATTAATGGGCAAATCCTTTTTCTTCTTAATTTCAGCTGAAGGCATTTTCAAAGAAAACTAGTTTATTTTGTGTAAAAACTACAATGGTGCTTGTATGGAGTAACACAAAATCTCATTTCATATTTAATTACAGAGAACCATTTTGGAATTCTTTTCTAAATCATAGAAATTGAAAAAAATTTGTTTCTAGGGAAATTTCAGAAAAAGTAATGAATTTCCAATAAACTCTACAATCTCCCATCTTGTTTTTAACTGAAATTATAATATCACTACATGTCTTTTTGGATTATAAAGCTTTTTCATTTAGATATATAGGTTTAAATGAAATGTGGAATTCCTAGCATCTGATAGCATCCCTAAGGAAGATAGATAAAGTGAAGTTTCAGGACAGTAGGTCAGGGCCATGCCATCTGAAGGTAATCTCTGGCCCTCTAAGAGATCATTCAACAACCATGCTGGGAAGACTAATGTGTTAAGGCCAGTTTGGAGTTTCTTAGTCTTATATGCTGTTATCTATCAGAAATATGTAAGCCACATGTATAATTTAAAAGTTTCTAGTAACCACATTGTAAAAATGTGAAAAGAAGCCAGATATAGTGGAACAAACCTATAATCCCAGCAACTTGGGAGGCTGAGACAGGAGGATGGCAAGTTCAAGGCTATCCTGAGCAACATAATGAAATGCTGTCTCAAAAGAAAATTTAAACAAAGGACTGGAAGTAGCTGAGTGGTAGAGGGCTTGCCTAGCATGCATGAGGTTTATCTCCAGTACCACCAAAAAGTAAAAAAAGGGCTGACCCTTTGCTACCCAAATTATCTTCCTTCTGTCCAGCTCAGACATTCTCTGGGAAGGGAAAGTTGCTTTTTGAGCATGGGATCAGAATACTGGAGTTAGAATTGCCTCAGGCTAAAATAGATCAAGCTGCTTATTCAACAACAATTTATTACTAAGCTCTGACCTGAACATTGCAAAAGAGACGTAAATCTCATTCTGCCTGGTGCTCGTGATTGTTGTTGTTATTCTGGCACAAAGAAGCAAAGGACTAGTTCCATTCTCAGGCTGGAATATCCTCTTGCCTGGTTACTACTTGCTTTATTTAGGACCAAACACTGATTGCTCAGGGATGTTAATGTCTGTTACTAGCTAGTCCTGCTACCTTGGATGGCCATATTTATCTTTTAGGTGATTTTAGATTTCTCTGCTTTTGATTACTTGGTTAATTATGGGGTCAGATTTATTTCCTAGGACTTAAAGGATCTGTTACTGAGATTTCCCCTCCTCACAAATAACACCTACAATATTTACTTGATCCAGATCTTTGCTGGAGCAGCATCCAGCCTTCCTGCATGGGAGTCACTGGATGACTTGTTAAAAATATAGTCATTCATGTACAACCAGAAGAATTAGAAATTATACTCCATTTATGTATGATGTGTCAATGTATAACTAGTTACAACAAATAAAAAAATAAAAAAATACAGTCATAAGTTGCTTAACCACAAGTATACGTGTCCTTAGGCAATTTTTTTTAGTTGTGTGACTATCACAGAATGTACTTACACAAACTGAGCTGGGTTATGACACAACCCTAGCCCCTAACCTGGGATTTTATTCTCTCTGATAATGCCAGATTCCTTTCAGTAGGGTTTTGAAAATCTCTGGGTAAACTGGGAATTTTTGCCTATCAGTTTTTAAAAATAGCCCCAGGGTGACAGGGATGGTCAAATACACAAATGTTTTAGGGGATACCTAAGGTTCCTTTAAATTCTTGTGTTTTAGCTTGTTTAAAGTGTTCCGTAATAAAATTGATCCATTTGGTATTAGATGCGCCACACAGGTTACTCACCAACTGTTGGAGCTATAGCTGGTCATTTTTATACTTCTCAGGTGGAAAGTAGCATTTGTGCAGCCAGCAAGGAATAACAGCCCCACCCTCCTATCAGGTGGATCCAGAACTCATAGACAGCTTGGTGACTGTCCAAATACGTTTCCTGTCTGATTGCTGAGATGCTCAGCAGTTACTATCAGACTGATCATCTTGCTGGAATCTATATGGGAAATTGAAACCTTGGCCACTAGTCTTGTGTCTACCATGAACCAGCAGGAACTTCAGGATCGTTACATGAGGACTGGGCTCTTTAGAAAGGTCAGCCTTCGTTATGTGGCTGACTGTCAGCCAGAGTGAATGTGGCAGAGCACTCTTGAGTATTCCACAGTATGGCCACCTCATTATTCCCCAGCCCTCCTGAAGGAACTTCTGTTGTAGGCATCTCCCCTCACCTTTCTCCCATCAGAAGGTCCCTGGTGTGTCAGTTTGCTCAGACTTGTGTAATCTGATAATTAAATGTTCTAAAATTTGAAAGACTAGAACCAGGTTACAGGCTTCTAAGAAAGCCCTTAATCTTTGGAGTGCAATTTCAGACGGTGTGCGGAGTTCAGGGGGAGGGATGTTTCAGGGTGAGACTCTGATACTGGGTATTCTGTTTCCTAGTTCACACAGGCATTTGATATGTGTGTGGACCTGACTTCTGCATAAATGACAAATAGACACCACTTCTGCTTCAGTGACAATAGTGATGTTTGGGGATAGTGACTGTTTAAAACACACACACACATCCTTTTTATGCTGAATACTCTTATTTGACTATAGCAAATACTCTTAAGTGGATTTCTCTGATGGAGCCTGGGGATTCTGTGAGAACCATCAGGGCTAGAAAACACCCTGCAGAGATTTTTTTTTTTTTCTTTTTCTGGGAGGTATGATCCCCTCAGTTTCTGGGTGGACAAGATAGAGCAGAAGAAGCAGTTCTGAGAGTTTTGAGCCATCTCAGTAACAGTGAGCACTGATTCTGTGTGACTTCACACAGATCTCTTCGCAAATCTGATTTCTTTTTTTTTTTTTTAAAAGAGAATTTTTTAATATTTCTTTTTTAGTTATCAGCGGACACAACATCTTTGTTTTGTATGTGGTGCTGAGGATCAAACCCAGGCCGCAGGCATGTCAGGCGAGCGCGCTACCGCTTGAGCCACATCCCCAGCCCAAATCTGATTTCTTTATTACTCAAAGTGGTGATGGAGAACTATGTGATTGAGGCAAAGCCCTTTCATGTGGGGGGAGAAATACATAAACAGTGAAAAGGGCTCAGTTCTATTTTAGGAACACATAAAATGCTCTGGGAACATAGATGCAGCTTTTGCCTGTAGGGCAAGAGCTGGAATGAAAGGAGGTGACATTCAAGTTAGGCCTTGCTATGGTTGAATTGTGTGTCACAGATCCCTTCCCAGTCCTAGAATTCCTATGTTGAAGTCCTGTCCTCTAGATATTGGTATTTAGAGAGGGATCCTTTGGGAGGTAATTAAGTTTAGATGATGTTATTAGAGTGGGGCCTTCATGATGGGGTTGGTGTCTTTTAAGAAGAATTCAGAGAGGGATGTCCCTTACCCGCTTCATGTGGGGATACACCACAAAACAGACTGGCCAACACCTAGAACTCTAGGAAATAAATATCTATTGTTTAATCCACCCCATCTGTTTTGTTTCAGCAGCCTCAACTAAATGTCCAGGCTCTCAAGGCTCTCAAAGCAAGGGAAGAAGAAAGACATTCTTGTGCTGGGACAGGCAGGGCAAAGATTCTGAAGTCCCAAGGAGAATAAACTGGTCACCTATCCTTAAGATCCCCTTCTTACTCTAGCCATCTGTAATTCTGTTACTCACATGCCTCCTTCCCCTTAGCCAGGCCTTTAAGTGAATAAGCAGATGTAGAAGGTTGAAGTAGATTGGTGTTTCCAAGTGAAGTTTTGCAGTATACCAGCTCTGATGTCTTGCAGGGGTCAGCTCAGGCTTCTTTGTCTTTGGGTTTGTTTCTACTAATCAATTGTATGACTTATTTCTCTGGGTTGTAATTTCTTGATTTAAAAAGTGAGTGTTTTTGCAAAATGGATGAAATTGTTTTCTAGATATCTTATTTAGTGGACTTTCTTCTTTAGTTGTGGTATATTTTAGCAGGAAAGCTGCCCACAGATCTATCTGTAAGTCCTGTATGTTCCCTAGTATAGAACCCAGATGTGCCAGCTAGCTATAGCCCATCATTCCTCTCTGAGAGTTCCTAGATACCCATCTGGGAAAGGGACTGGGGCCACAGTGCTGATACGGTCCTCGAGAGTCAGATAGATCTCCTTTTAAATGTCTTTGAGACACAGAGCATGGTAGTGTGTGCCTGTAGTCTCAACTATTTGGGAAGATAAGGTGGAAGGACACTGGAGCCCTGCCTGAGCACTGGTCACGGTGGCGCGCAACTTGGGAGGCTGAGACAGTAGGATCAGAAGTTTAAGTCAACCTCAGCAATTTAGTGAGACCTTGAGCAACCTTGTCTCAGAATTAAAAAAAAAAAAAAAAAAACTGGGGATGTATCTCAGTGTTGTAAAAGCCTTTTATTTTTAAAATTTGAGACAGGGTCTTGCTAAGTTGCCAAGGCTGGCCTTAAACTTTAGATTCTCCTGCCTAAGACTCTGGGATTAAGGAATGTGCCCCTGAGCCCAGGTTGTTTGTTGTTGTTTTTGTGCATACTTGGCAAGTGCTCTGTTGTTCAGCTAAATCATTAGGTCTTTTTTTTTTTTTTAAAGCTCCCTATATGATTCCAGACAGGGTTGAGGAGCAAAGATCCAAGTAGGGTTGGCAAACTTCTCTGTAAAGGGACAGATAAGAGTAGCCAGGTGTGGTAGCCCACATCTGTGATCCCAGCTACTTGAGGATCGAAAGTTCAAGGCCAGCCTGGGCAATGTAGCAAGACCCTGACTCAAAATAATATAAGAAAGTCTGGGGATATAGTTTCCTAATAGAACCTTGTCTAGCATATGCCAGACCTGGTATTTAATCTCAAGTACCAAACAAATGGGCTGCGAGAGGACTAGATAATACTTATTTTCAGCTTTGAGGGCCCTAAGGCCTTTATCATTACTTCTTAACTCTGCTGTTGAAGCATGAAATAAGCCATAGGCAACATGTAACAAATGAGCGTGGCATGTTTCATCGCGACTCGTTTATAATAGCAGCCTGCAGTTAGTTGTCTCCTGGGCTCTCGAGGCCAAGTGATGGAAGAATGACTGTCCTGCAGCCACTATACAGCCCTCAAAGGCAAGAAAGGTGATCTCACTGGCACAGCCAAGGCAAGAACTTAGTAATACATGTTCTATTTCTTCCCATTGGGCGTGCTTAATTACTTAAGAATAAACATCTCTGTGCTGAAAAAACATTAAAATGCCAACACATAAACTTGTGTTTAATTGTAGCTGCAAAAGACAAGGAAAAAAACAAAGAGAAGAAATTCAAAGAGTTTGTGAGAGTGAAGCCAAAGAAGAAAAAGAAAAAGAAAAAGAAAACCAAACCTGGTAATCTTCCCGAGGGTTTCTTAGATTTCCTTGCCATGGGTGGGGAGGGATGACTTCCTCCTGTGGTAGCCTCTGAGCCTGCACTGAGGAGAGGAAGGACCAGCAGGCCTTTCCTAGGGCTTGTGGGCTGAACCTAGTAGGGCCCTGGTGGGGGTGGCCTGGGGTGGGTTACACTCCCATGTCTTACAAGGACCAGCTGGCATTCTTTATTATTTATTTATTTGTTTGTTTGTTTGGCACTAGAGATTGAATCCAGAGGTGCTTTACCAGTGAGCTACATCTTCAGCCATTTTTATTTATTTATTTTTAATTTGGAGACAGTGTTTTACTAAGTTGCTGAGGTTGGCTTTGAATTTGTAATCCTCCTGCTTCGCCTGATGAGTTGCTGAGATTATAGGTGTGTGCCACCATTACCAGCTCTGATTGGCGTTTATGAAAGCCCTCCCATTAGGCTCATGGGCCAGTATATCTCCTATTACAGAGCCATATACATGGAGGCAACAAAGTCTGAGAGGATGTGTAGATGACTGATTGTTCAGATATATAAATCTTAAACATACATCTCTAAAGAAAGAATTCATTTCTTGAGAAGTATGTATGTACCCCAACAAAAATGTTTAAGAAAATCTGTGTTAAAACCTTGGAAGTTAAAGAGATGCCAGGTTTTCTTTATTTTCATTGTAGTTTCTTTCTTTCTTTTTTTTTTTTTTTTTTGGTACCGAGGATTGAACCCAGAGGTGCTTAACTACTAAGCTATACACCCAGCTCTTTTTTATGTTTTATTTAGATACAGGGTCTTGCTGACTTGCTTAGGGTCTCGCTAAGTTGGTGAAGCTGGCTTTGAACCTTCTGCCTTTGCCTCCCAGGATGTTGGGATTACAGGCATATGCCACTGCTCCTGACTCATTGTAGTTTCTGACTTAGAGAAAAAAAAAAAAAACTTACCAGAAACAGGTGAGGGGGGGTGATGGTGAGAAGAAATTGTTTGGAATTGGAGTTCTCAGAGGTAGCTGGAAGTATGAAATCCTAAATCTTCCCTCAGTACCTTATACCTTTTCTTGGTTGAATTGACCCCAAGTTTGAGCTATTGGAACAGGAGGCTTACTGATTGGATGAGGTTGGTTCTGGAATGCCCTTATAATGTCTGGAGTTGTCAGGTGTGGTGTTACACACCTGTAACCTAGCAACTTGGGAGCCTGAAGCAGAAGATTTGCAAATTTGAGGCCAGCTTCAGTAACTTAGTGAGACCCTGTCTCAAAAAAATTAAAAAGAGCTGGGGATGTAGCTCAGTTGGTAACGTGTCCCTGGGTTCAATCCCTTAAACCACCGCCTCCCCCCCACCACAAAAAAATAATAAAATATATAATGTCTGGAGTTACTCATTTCTTTCTCATGCTGTTCTTCCAGAATGCCCCTGCAGTGAGGAGATCAGTGACACCTCCCAGGAACCTTCTCCACCCAAGGCATTTGCTGTTACCAGGTGTGGGTCTTCACACAAGCCTGGGGTCCATATGAGCCCACAGCTCCATGGCTCAGAATCTGGAAATCACAAAGGGAAATTGAAAGCAGCTGGTAAGGGTGCTCGCCGCTGGCCTGATCATTTGTTAGAAAGTAATACTTGGAACAGTGTCTGCAAAGAATAAGTGCGTAGTAAATGTTGGCTTGATTATAGCTAATTAGGCACCAAGACTCAGTGATTCTGGTGCAGATTGTTCCTGGGATCCTCTCCTGCCTCTTTCCCCACTGTCTGCAGAACTTTAAAGTGACTGTGGACACAGCCTTCTTATGTATAGGGCTGGCTTCATGGGAAGACTGAGGAAAATTTTAGTTCTGAGGATTAACAGACTGTGTAGTTCATAAGGAGTTGAAGCTCACTGACAGATCTGTGACCTCGAGCAGCCACTGACCTTGGGCTTCATACTCTGTCAGTGAAGTGAGGAAATGGATTTCAGTTCATTGCTAGGCAGCGTACTCCATTTGGACTAATGACAACTCCCAGGCACACATTAATTCCTGATTTCTCAGCCCTGGAGTAAGGTTATTTTCTACTCAGGACAAGCTAGGGTTTTATACATTTTATAACTATAATTTAAAATAGTGACTGTTGGTTTCCCTCACCTTCTAGAGGAGGAGAATTTGAGTGAATCCTCTTCTGAGAGCTTTCTTTGGAGTGATGAGGAGTATGGCCAAGATGTTGATGTGACCACCAACCCAGATGAGGAACTTGATGGAGATGACCGCTATGATTTTGAGGTGGTTCGTTGTATCTGCGAAGTCCAGGAAGAAAATGACTTCATGATTCAGGTGGGTTGAGCTTCCAGAACACAGGTGTAGGGATAGAGAAGTGCAGACTTGTCCCTGGAGAGAATGTTAAGGCCAGGAACAATGGGGGGTCATGTCAATAGCACCAGACTGAGTTTGCCTTTTGGTTCAGCTTTCTGGGTATTCAGGCTGCCATAAATAGCCTATTAATAGAATAAGAGAGGACTTATAAATCCAAACTTCTCATCCTCTGCTGGAGGCATTTGGGGCCTGCAAAGGGGACAGGTTTTGGTCACACGGTGAGAAGCTAAATATCAGGGACTCAAGACCTGGGGTGGCAGTTCAACTTTCTTATGGACCTATCTTGTCTTTGAGGTAAATTTTCTTTGTGGTATAAAGAAATGGAGACTGGTTTTATGACATTTCTCTTTCCTGTTATTTTCCTAACATCCTTCATCATCTTTATCTTTGGGATGTGCCTGTGGGGTGGGACCTCTCTACCTGTCTTGAGAAGACCATCATTGTTCCCTGGCTCTGACCCCCTCTGCTTGCCTTCATCTTGCCTTCACTTGGTATTACAGTTCTAGCAGAGGTGGCTGCTGTTTGGTTAACTCTGAAGGCCATCATAAGTACCATGGATATATATTGGCATCTGACTGGCCAAGAAACCTGAGTTTTCTTTAAGTCTCTTATGGTTATATTGGTTAGCATCTTTTTTTTTTTTTTAAGTTATAAACAATACTTTTTGGGCTGGGGATGTGGCTCAAGCGGTAGCGCGCTCGCCTGGCTTACGTGCGGCCCGGGTTTGATCCTCAGCACCACATACAAAGATGTTGTGTCCGCCAAAAACTAAAAAATAAATATTAAAAAATTCTCTCTTTAAAAAAAACAACAATACTTTTATTTGTTCATATTTTATGTGATGCTGAGGATCGAACCTAGTATCTCACACGTGCTAGGCAAGCATGCTACCACTGAGCCCCAGCCCCAGCCCCCTATTGGTTAGCATCTTTTGGGAGCAAGTACAAACATTTTTGGGAAAATAGTCAAGTTCCTAGAACCCAGAGGCAAAATTGCATCCAGGCTTAGCAGCTTAGAATTCCATCTTCAGGGGCTTAGTCTAGTCTGTTTCCTAATTCTTCCTGGAGTTGATTTGGTTCTTTTAAAAAATCTTTTTGCTACTTGTTAATTTTCTTGGAAATTGCAAAATGATCACCATCCATGGTTCCTTTACACCTTCCCTGTTTTAACTTTTTGTCTTCAAGAGACTAGCTCTATCCAATTCTAAATTCCTGGGCCAGGAATTCCATCTGGGTTTAGATCAGGTATTAGCCTTTGGAATGATCACCTGTGAGGAGGGGGCAGATGTCTATCCTAGGCCAAATGCCAACCCTTGGTCTAATCATCTGGCTGCTGGTGGTGAAAGCTGTGGGTATGTGTGGTTCACGATGTACAAAAAGGCCGCCTAGGGCCTCCCTCTGTCATTGTGTGGAAGGGGTGAGAGGTGTTAACCAGAAAAGAGGGTATCTGTGGTAATTATGAGAAAAATACTCAGCCTTTCTGTCATGGAATATTATTTCCTTGTCCTTAAGTCAATATGTGCATCAGTTTTTGAAATTAACTTTTGCACTTGTCTTTTTTTTTACTCAGCAATCTCCTTTCCTTTGATTTCTTGAAATATTAAGCTTGCCATAATTTAAACTTTCAGAAAGTCCAGAGTGAGTAGGCACCTTACATTTTCACCTTTAATTTATCAAGTGTTTTTTAAAAAAACTTTTATTTTTGAATAATTATAGATCACAGGAGGTTGCAAAGAAATATACTACGAATGAGAAGTCCAGTGAACTATTGCCCAGGCTTCCTCCCATGCTAGGAACGCACACAACACCACAATCTCAAAACCAAGAAATTGATATTGGCATAATCTTGCAAGCTTATTCTGATTTTACCAGCTACATACATGTACTGTACTTATATGTGTATGCATATAACTTTGCACAGTTTGTCACAAGTATAACAAAACTGTCACAGTTTTGTCACAAGTATATATACTGTGTAACCAGTACTACAGTTAGGATACTCAAGTACTATCATTATTAATAATTGAGAAGTAAAGCCAAAAACAGATTTGTTTTTGAAAGTCACAATGTCTAGGCTGGCTAATGAACTGTTTGTTCTCCACCCCAACCAGTATGTACACGCAACATACTTCAGGTGAAACACTTCACAGTCTTCACAGTAATTTCTATGATTTACAGATACATAAATTGTCTTCAGCACTTCTTGATATTAGTGCTTTTCATACCTTTTCGGCATCAGAATCCCTGTTCCTAATGGACTTTTTTGTAGAACCCCAAAGTGTCTTACTGGTAAAAGCTGTAGTTTTATTTAATTTGTGGTAGTGGGTTTTGAAGTAAGGGCCTCACTCATGCTAAGGCAAGCACTTTGCTACTGAGGTATATATCTTCAACCCCACAAAGCAATAGTTTTAAATGTTTAAGTTGAAAAAAAAATTCAAAATAAATAAAAGTTTAAAATGATTAATCTTCACTTTTAAGGTTAGAAATGTGATCCGCACACGTTCTCATGAATTCTGATAATATAGTCAGAGTTGTGGCCCTTAGTGAAAACCTGTCTCAAAATAAGAAAAATTTAAAAATAAAGGGCTGGGGACTGATGATTTGGAACACTTCAGCATATTGCTTGTTTTTCTCTATTTGGTTCTGTCTGTGAGAGAAGCTTGATGCACGTGGCTCTTGTCAGAATGACTTTTCCTAAACAGCATGCTGTGTTGTCTCTTTGAATAAATACGAGTGGGCGGAAAATCTTTGTTCTAGGACAGAATTATGTGTGCAGTACAAAATTATGTGTACTGGTGGGCTCTGTTATCTTAACATTTGGCCTGAACATTTTTAGTGTGCATTTTTTGTTTTGTTTTTTTAAATTAGTTTCATCCAAAAACGTACTTTTGTAAAACCTGTGGGATACAACTGGAATTGTTATATAACATGAAGACTGTTAGGATTTTTTAGTAGAAATTTTTTTGAGGTATAAAATGTTTATTTAAAAAAACTGATTCAGCCAGTTTAGCATTTTGAAATAAAGTTTTTTGTTGTTGTAGATGGACACAGTATATATATTTATTTTTATGTGGTGCTAAGGATCGAACTCAGTGTCTCACACGTGCTAGTCAAGCACTCTACCACTGAACTACAACCCTAGCCCTAAAATTTGTTTTTTCCAGGGTGGTTTCAAGGAGAATATATGCCAGTACTTTAATAATGGGAAGAATACCATATGGCATGTGTACCCTTGAGGAGGGGAGCTGTGAGATTGCCATGTAGCCTTCCCCCAGGGATGCTGAGTTGCCTGTGCTTTATTTAGTGTGAGTGTTAAGGAATAGCAATTCACTTGCCAACTCTGTGACACAAGCCATAGCATTTAAATATGACATGTTACATTAAGCATTGTGATTGAAGTTTATTCTGAATTTCTGATTTGTAATTTTTCAGTAGGGATTACTTCTCTTTAGGAATAAAGTAGCAAAGCATTAGCTTGAATATCTTAGATAACTAGTGTCTTAGAAATTGGGAATTGGGGGGGCTGAGGTTGTGGCTCAGTGGTGGAGTGCTTACCTGGCACGTGTGAGACACTGGGTTCAATTCTCAGCACCATATATAAATAAATAAAAAATAAAGGTCCATTGACACTAAAAAATATTAAAAAAGAAATTAGGAAGTGAGAAATATGCAAATGATTTATTAAAAAAAAAGAAGATTTTTAGTTTCAAAGTTTCAACTTTGTTTGTCTGGGCATATGCCTTGGTAGCCTGATCAGATTTTGGCCTTTGAAGATATCTAAAGTGGGTGAATAATTGAAAGCTTCTCTTGGCAAGACCGTTCCGCCTGAGCAGTATGCGACCCGTTTTTGATCCTTTGTAGTAATCTCTCCATTGATTTTTCTGTAAGTAGTAAGGATCAAGGGGTATTTGAAGGTAGACCTTAAAGTACCATTATATGCTATATGAAGACAGTACGCCTGGGGCTCTTGGGTTCACACCAGCTGTTACATGGCAGAGTTGGGAGCCGACTTCCTATCTCTTCCCCCAGCTCTCAGCTCAACACTTGGCTCAATATCGTGGTATTTAGCTCACATCAGAGCACCTTGGCTTTTGTTCTACAGGACATTCCTCTGCTGTCCACTGGAGCCAAGATTTTCCAATTGGTGTGTCTTATGGAGGGGCAGTTTCTGTCATTGTGAGCAGTATACCTGTTCCATTCAGTAACTTTAGCAAAAGGCACAAATTTAGAGGAAGATAACTGGAATAAATACAGTTAACTTTAAAATGTATTGATCATCTAGTTAGAGAAATAATTTTCTTTGATCTTATTTAATATTTGATTGCTATCAACATTTCTTGAGTATATTACTATTTAAAAAATTTTAATTGTTGATGGACTTTTATTTTATTTATTCCTATGTGGTGCTAAGAATTGAACCCAGTGCCTCACACATGCCAGGCAAGCGCTCTTCCACTGATCTACAACCCTAGTCCTGAGTGTATTATTATTTGATTTTATTAACCAGTACTTATTTAAATCATTGAAGGTTAAAATCCTGCTTAATAATCATGAGTATTTGAGAAATCTGGGTACCACATGAACACGAGAAAACACATTTGATATTTAAATTATTTTAATTGCTCTAGAGCAGATTTTGGCAAACTGTAAATGGCTAGATAATAAGTATTTTAAGCTTCAAGGACCATACGATTTTGTCACAACTATTCAGAAGCTGCTACAAACAGTTATAGACGATATGTAAAACATGGATTTGTTCGTATAATATTTTATAAAAACAAGATTCTAGCTGAATTTGGCTCATAGACCTTAGTTTGCTGACTTTTACCCAAGAGCAATAAATATATATTAGGTGCCAAACTTCAGGGAAAATTATGTTACAGCTTTAACAAGAAGCCCTTATTTATTTGTTTCATAGTACTAAGGATTGAACCTAAGGGTGCTCTACCACTGAGTTACATC